TTAGATTTAACCTTTTCTATAAAATGATTTTCCGGTGATTTCCTTGTATTTCCCTGTAGACGTAGTTCACTGCTAGATCCGTTTTTCATTATCAGCAGTGTCAGTCGGTCTGACAGGCTTGTAGATCACGGGACTGCCGATTTTTTGTGACATGACTAACCTACTTATGGATAAATGGATGACGGATTCATCCGGATTGGACCTCTAGTGATATTACGTAATTGCGGATTAAAAATATACGTATTTGATTTTTTTATGAAATGCTTATGAAATCGTGATATAATTAAATCGTATGAATTATTTGCATTCGACGTGTTTTCGTTGTTTAAAGATAGCAAATTCATAACTCATTTTATATGCAATTCAATTATATCACTTAATTTTTAATGATCACAATATTCCCATCAAAAATTTTCGCCCATACGTTCCGCTTATTGAATATTAAACAATGGTTACACCTGATTTTGTAGTAACGCTAGGGCAGTTATCAAAACCAGTTGAGTTAAACAGCTAGATGCGGTTTAAAATTAATTGTTAATAAAATTTTTAAGCGGCTGAATTCCTAATTATAAAAAAAAAAAGCTTCTAAATAAATATGAATTAATAAAACTTTAAAATAAAATAAAAAATAAAATACAATGAATAAAACAAAAAAATTTATATATTTTAAGTCATGCACGGACACTTGGACTATGTATTAAAATTCATATATGACAATATTCTATTTTTATATTTGTAATATGCGAAAGGTATTAACTTGTCCACCCGGTCATAGTTTTTTAAACAGATTCAATTACTATCCGGAAATTTTTGATTATTGCGGTTGTTCCTATTATAAGTAAATATGAGTTAATTATCATTCATCATTCGAGATTTAAATTGGCGATTCTCACCTGTGTGATAAAATTAAGTGCATCCTCCTTAGTAATAACACTTATACGTGATACTTTATTTGAAAATGTTACTCCATAAAATTTATCGGCATTTGCAAGCATCTCCGGGCGGAAAGTTGTGGTAATAAACTGACCATTTTCGCTCAATTCATGGATCATTGCTACGTGAAAAATCTTTTAGAAAATGACATCAAATCAAATGACATCAAATCAAATGACATCAAATCAAATGACATCAAGCCAAATGGCTTACAAATAAATAATAACTACATACATGCAACAGCAGTACGATATTGTGCATCAAGTGCAGCATCAATCTCATCAAATAAATAAAAGGGCGCTGGGTCGCATCGTTGTATTGCAAATATTAGAGTGAGTGCAACCAAAGATTTTTGTCCGCCAGACAGTTGTTGCATACGAAGACCTTCGTCTGTTTTACTGTTAAACGAGACCTTGAATGATATATGAATAGGAATAATTTATATGTAAGAAATTAGGGTTGGAATTATTGATAAGGCAAGTTAATACATACCTTTATTGCAACGCCAGTATAGCTATCTACAGATCCACCTTCGCGATCCTCCCGCTCATCGACATCCTCCATTTGTTCCTACATTATATATAAATTTAACGAATATGTATAATAAATCTGTAAATAAATAAATAAAAGTAAAATAATAGTCTCTTAATCATTTTACCCTATAATCCTGGTCCTTAAATGTTAGATATGAAATTTAATGAAAGTTTACTAAAATTTATATATAAATACAAATAATCTTATAAACATGCACCTTAATATTTCTTTTTTGCATAATTAACTGTCCTCGTCCTGCAGGTACCAATTTTTCAAAGATCTCAGAAAAATATTTTGCTACCTGTTTGAATGTGCGTTCAATTGCCTCATCCTTTCGCTGATCTAATACATTTATTAGATCGTTTATAGCCTAATTGAAAGTTGAGTTTAATAGTAAATTTATAAAAAAAATAGATGTGTAATATAGCAATTACCCTTTTTGATTGATCTAATTCTTCTTTTCTTTTCGTAAGAGTGTCTCTCTGTTTAGTAAAATTGTTATATTGTTCAAACGCCTTCTTATTAACATGACTATATTTTTTCAGACCTTCATTCACTTTATGCAATTGTTTCAAAAGCTAATATATATATATATATAACAATAAAGTCAGATAATATTGACACTATTATACATTCTAAATTACGAAGCTTAAACACACCTTTGTGGGGTCTGTGTTTTTATACTTTTCAAACGCTTCTTCGGGCAATGCACCAAGTTCACGAATATTTTTAGTACATTCATCCTTCTTTTGTAATAATAATTTCCTTTTTGAAAGAAACTTGTCGACATTCTTTTGCTGTCGTTCCAGCTTTTGTTGCCGATTACTTTGCTCAGCCTAATATAAAAAAATTTAATTATGTAACAAAACTTGCACAACATTCGATTTACAAATATACCAACTTTTAGTCTTTCAGATTCAGAAGTTTTTTGATTTAGCTCTGTAGAGAAGTCTTGCAACTCTATCTCGATTTCTATTTAACGAAATATTCCAAAATATTAATTAAATTTCACCATCATGATTATTAGATGACAGAAATATTAACCTTTCGACCGATTAGACATTTCACTAATGAGTCTTTCGATTTCATTCTTGCTATTGCAGAGTTGATCATCCACGCTTGTATTTAAACTGTCAATTTGAATTAATAACTCTTCATGACGCCTTTTCAAATTTGCATCCAACTCATTCTCCAATATGTTTTTCCGCCCCTCAAGCTAAGTTTATAGAGTCAATATCATAGGATAAGAATGTGACTTATTGTCATAAATTTATGCAATCTTTTACGAACCTCAGACCGTGACGTAGACAGTTTGTACAATTTTTCTCTCAACTGCTCAACTTCAACATTCAACCTCTCAAGTCGTTGTTGTTCTTGCATGTTTAATTTTTGAGTCAGTTCGGTATTCATTTCTGCCTGATGAGCTTGCTTTTGGGCATTTAGCATCTTAATGCTACTTTGAAGACTCAACAACGATTTTTCCTGTTGGAAATCTACATTAGTGGCGGCTCCAAGAGCATTAAAAGTATTGACAATTTGAATTCAAAAGTTACTTTGTTAATTTTTGACTCTTTCAAATTTGCATCCTCCTTTATTTTTGAATTCAATTCGAGCATAAGAGGATCACGGCTATCCTGAGCTTGTCGTCGTTTAGCCTCCACATTTTGTATTGAATTCAATTTATGCGTAATTTGTTGATCTAAACGTGTAGCAAAATAAGTAAAGGAGAACAAGTGGACTTATAATATACAAAGTTGATTTAATTTAAAAAGGATATGAGTTATTTCACTCTTCACTTCTCTGGCATGCTGTTCCAGGTCTGTGTATTCTTTTCTCCATTTTTTCATATTTGTCGCGGCTTCTAGACGCCTGCGACGAACATCATGATATCCGCCAGTAAGCGCACCTTTTCTGTCAACTTGGTCACCTAAATAAAATTTCTGTCCGTTTAGTACTTTTATACATAATAATTTAATAACAACTATTTAAAAATATACTATACAAACCATCCAATGTAATACCATTCAAGTCATATTCACGAGATAGCTTAGATGCAGTTTCTAGGTCATTGCAAATTATTGTACGACCAAATACCTATTCAAGCGATTTTATTTGTAATTTTACCGTAGAGAAAATGCTCAAATAAAATCAAAGAGGCTACCAGAGTCGCCTAGTACAATTCTGATGAAATTGATTTATTACCTGTACCATTGCTTTTGTATACGTTAAATCAAACTTGACAACATTGACCATGGGTAAAAAACCTTCAGATTCAGGATATTCATAATTCTTAGTTCGCAAACGATTTAACGGCACAAAAGTTACACGCCCGTTTTGCTCACGATTGAGAGCATCCAAAATTCTAGTAGCTGTATCGTCTGTATCAACAACTACGTGGAATAAACTGCAATAACGTGGTAATAAATAAATATATAAGCAACAATATCGCCTTTCCAAAGGTGAAATTTTACCTTTGTCCCGCGGTGACTTCAACTGCTGTCCACATAGAATTATTTGTGCATTCAAACAACTCATAAAGTGGCCCATAAACACCATTAAGCCTAAATTGCTCGGTGATGCGTTTCACAGAATTCAGACCATTATTGGTTTTCTTTAATACAAATCAATTTAATCAACTTTAATATTACTAAACAAACATCTAATTAGCAGAACTAAATATACCTTATCCATTGAACTAGCCAAGGCCCTTTCGTAATTTTTCCATTGCTCCCGAGCATTGATCAATTTTGTTTCTAATTGTGCATCCTCTTTCCACTTTTCTCTAGTGGTATGTAAACATCACATAAGTCGTATCAATGAT